GTGTGTGTGTGTGTGTGTGTTTGCGTGCGTGTGTCTTTGACGATATGCGTTCTATAGTGGTCGTATTTGTAAAATATAATTGCTGAGCACTATATTGCTTCGCACAATTCCCAAGGGTGCTGATCCTACTAGAAACATTTTGAATTCGATCACGTATAGCAACAAATAGTAAAGCAAAATACTCACAGAAGTGCTTGGGTTTGATGTGCTTTACTTTAAAAAGTAATCTTTGGTGTTTTCCCTAAAGAAAGAACTGTGCATCAGCAGCAGCCAACACTCTACTGATAGGTGCGACCCCAGAACATCTCCTGCACTTCTTTGGAGTTACACTTGCCAGGCTTATCTGCAAAGCACATAACGGCCACCAAACGCTCTCTTTCGCCCTCGGTCTCAGTCACTCGGTGGAACGAATAACGTCCGGCAAAGATCTGTAGTGTTCCGGGCTCGAAAGGGGCTGTGTAGATCTCTGGAACCTTTGTGTCTGTGCATGTAGTTTTAGGTTAACATTGTATGAGAGTTAACAACGCACTTCAGGGGTTAGAACACACCAGGGGTGGTGGTAGGGTGAGCTGTGTCAGAAGATACAGGCATCAGACATCTGAATAGATAAGTGAAAATGCGCCTGAAGTAGGCGACCCTCTACACAATCATACATTCACACCTATAATCCTAAAGTACTGTAAAAACAAGTAGCTATATTGTCTGTACATATACACACATATAATCTTAAAGTACTGAACAAATAAGTAGCTATATTGTCTGTATATATACACGCATATAATCTTAATGTACTGAGTAAACAAGGAGGCATGTTGTCTGTATATGTATACACATTTAATCTTAAGTACTGAATAAACAAGTAGCCATATCGTCTGCATATGTTACTCCACAGGGCACAATCCTGGATTGCCTGGGCATAGACATCGCCGCAGCTACTGTTGAAGTACATCCCTACCCAAACAATCCTATCAACACACTCCCAACATTCGTCAAGTCACGCTGTTTAGGTGTACCTGCATCCACTGGCTCGACTTTAAACTTGGAGTGTTTATTCAGCACAGCGGCGACTTGCTTGTCCACGTCTTCGCTCATCTCCTGTGTGTCGCGCAGGCGGTTAGTGTACTCAAACACGCCCCCTCTCTCGGCCGTCTGCAGAGATAGTGTAGTTGTGAACTCGCTCTCGTCAAAGTGCCAGGCATGGCTCCAGCCCTCACGGAAGACATTGATGGAACATGCACCCAGCTGGTCCGACAGGTGGTACAAGGGCTCGGTGGAGTTGTCACGGCCGATCACTGTGGGTGGGTGGGTCGAGGAACGGGAAGCGAATATGTGTATGGTGTATGTATTTGAATTGAGATATATTTCAAAATGGGGGATACTCCTCAGCAGTGTGTATATTGGATTGAGATAGGGTGTAGAAAAAATTACATAGCTACAGCTCGACACCTACGCCTACAACTAAAACTATACTGGTCCGTACCTGCATTGACAAAGTGCAGGAGACTGTCGCTCTCGTACAGTTTCCGCAGAGCGCCTTTCGTATCCAATTCATCGTACGCAGTGGAGGCTACCTGTGTACTCATAAACGTATTGCGCACATGATTAGCACGTGGCTCACTACTATCTGCCGGACGTTGGAATGCTGTGTGACCTTTATCAGTAACGAATGCATGTTCAGATTTAATAGCTGCCTCGTGAGCACAAATACGTGTTGCTTCCTCAGTAAGAAATCCGGGGTAACTGGCACAGCCTGTTTCTTTCAGCGCTTTTCTGGAACGCTCTATTAGTTCACGAGCTTCTGGTGTGTTCAGGTTATCAATGGGATACTTCTTCAAATCAATACCCAGATTGGCATGTCTGTAGGTTTCAGATTCAATCTGCATTGCTGTGGGAATTTATGTGCAGTAAAAAAAGGTTCTCATTTAACTATCGTTATCTTCGTGAAAAATTATGCAATTTTAATTCCAGGTATATATCGAACTGACTAAATTTCGGATGTATCACAACATGACAACCCATACATATCATT